GCGACACTGAGGGTTGCGATCCCGTTGCCGGTCCCAGTCCGGTACGGGCGCGACACTGAGGGTTGCGATCCGTTGCCAGTCACGAAAAAAGACAAAAAGGAAAAAAAAAAAATAAGACTGCAGGTGTGGGAAGGCTCCTGTTAAGATCTGTGTCTTAAACTATAAAATAGCCTACAAATTTCACTTGTCATTATGATTGCTTCAATAACAGTGTGGAGGGAAATCTAGAAAATGCATCTTCTGGGCCAGCCCGGTGGCGCACTGGATAGTGCGCCGCTTGGGAAGCGCGACAGCGCTCCCGCCGAGGGTTCAGTTCCCACATACAGACCGGCCGCTCACTGGCTGAGCACGGTGCGGGGGCAACACCGAGGGTTGCGATCCCGTTGCCGGTCCCAGTCCGGTACGGGCGCGACACTGAGGGTTGCGATCCGTTGCCAGTCACGAAAAAAGACAAAAAGGAAAAAAAAAATTTACTGATTGTCTATAGTTCTTATTTACGTTATTGAAAACATAAGAAAACCTATGCCACCACCATCTTTTAAAAGGATACTGACAAAGTCATCAAATCCTAGAAGTGTGCCAACAATTTCCTTATCACTCTTCATCACAATGTGAATTCTTGATCCTATACATTTGTCCACAAGCTCTGTGAAGGGAAAAAGATTATTTTACCCATTCATTATTTCAATAAATATTTGAGTGCCAGGACTGGCACTCATTACTTACATATGGTGAAAGATAAACCAGGAAAAATATTCATTCAACAGCTTTAGGTCTTATAATACAAATCTCTGTTCTATCATTACTTTTACAGAAAAGTTTTCCTTGATCTCCACTTACCTTTTCTTTGTAGCAAATTATCACGATTGTGGTTTTGTACTTACTTTAGATTATTTGGTTAATGTATGAACACACACACAAACCCCCAGAGTCTAAGTTCCATGAGGGCAGAAACCGTGGTTATTTTTACTCATCACTGGATTTTCAAATGCACAGTGTCTACAGATACTGGACATTCCAAGAGTCTGTCGAATGACGGAATGAAAACTTTTAATTACGGCCACGTTTACTAACAACCATTCCTCACCAGCTACAAAATATTAGAGAGAGGCATAATTATCTTCACCGGAGACTCTTTCCTGTCACTACCTCCCTCACCCAACGAAGTCTACCCTCCGTGCTCTATCCTGTTATAAGAACAGCTTGAACATCTCTTTGCCAGCCTGGTGTTATTCTGCATGATGTTTACTTGTCCAGTGTTCTCTCCTTCACTGGCTTGTGAGCTATTTGAAGGCAATGGCTGTGGTTTAACTGTTGAATAGAGCCCACACGGTGTCTGGGGTATTAATGCTCAATAACTGTTTGTTGAATAAATGACAAACTGCTAGTTTCCAGATTCCTCTTTTGAGGCACATTCCAGACTGAGGAGCTATTCTCAATAATCAAGCAGATACACAGCAGGGTCTATGTAATCTGGGAATCTTAAATGCCAGGTTGAGAAGCGAGACACTAGATACGAGCGCACAACAGCAGCGGCCGACGACGCATTCACTGAGTGTGGACCTTCTCCGATGACGGTTTGGTTTGAGGAGTCACAAGTCCCTGCCTCGAGGAAGCCTACCACGCTAAAGGACAGGGACGGCCTAGAGCCGCAGAGACTTGGAGCCGAGAGACGAGCCGCGGAGAGGGAAGGCACTCGGTCCCATACGTTTCCCCACACTCGACCAGGCGCTGCCTCGGCCGCAGCTCCTCGGCTCCCAGCCCCCAGCCTCAGCTCCCCTGCCCCTGCTCCCCACTGACCACGATTACCTAGCGGCAGCAGCTGCGACGGGTTGGTAGTGGCGTTAGCTGCCATGGCTACGCCGGAAGTGGCCTGTCGGTCGACGATGGGACGGCGATTTTGAAAGAGCGCGCTTCCGCTTTTTCCCGCAGCCCGAGTAGGCTCGACCAATCTGAGGCCGAGCGTGCGATCCGGGCTGTCGACGTGGGGGTGGTGCCCGCTTGCTGCTGATCCGCGGCAGTGAGACCCCGCGAAATAGTTCCCATCCACTGAAAATTCTGCCATCTCGACGGATACCCACTCTGCCTTCGAAGTTGCGGAGAGAGGTTAAAGAGATCTTGCCTAGACGTTGCAAAATGCAGAAAACTTTTGAGTCATCTTATTTTCCCCTAAAAAGTTGCATCTCATCTCAAGCCAGGATCTTTTTTCAGACAAGAATAAATCAATTCGTATTTCCCGCCACCAATTTCACTGTGTTGCAATTTTCGTAAAAAAAAGTCCAGTGGATTGAAAACCCACAACCAGCATTTTAAAAACATTTTTCTATAGTGGAGACTTAAAATATTTTTCTTTTAACTTTTTTAAAACTTTAACTCATCGTTCTTATCTTTTTATATCTAGGAGTCTAATTTATTATATGCTTTTTTATTCATTATTTCTTCAACAAACAATTATCGTCTAATAGGCAGCCACCATATAACCACCATGGTTATATTCATAACCATCAACATTCTCCTTAATCTTCATAAGGTATTAAATACAAAGTAATGCCAAATTTGTTTGTGAAGGCCTTTTCTTTCCCTGGTTTTTCTTTTCTATCCCTATTCCTGTTTTATTTTTGCCATGCCATAGTGAGAGTATGAACGAAATACAAGACATTACTTCAGAGAGTTTAAGAGATCAGAAAAATATGCTTTAAGAAAATCAGTGCTTTATGTTTTCCATTACAATAATAGAATGAATATTAGCAATTTTTAATGCCACTAATGAAGAATAAAGAAAATCTTTTTACACTCTGAAAAAGGAGCTATCTAGTTCATTTACATGGTAGGGTTAATGGGGATTGGATGGAATGGTTTTCTTTTATTGCGTTCTTTCCTGAGTCAAGATACAAAAAGAAACAGGCCAATTTAATATAGAGAGTTCACTTTTAATCAACTTGAAAATATGTCATAGCTCTATGTCTCAAGGATTTTTCTTCCTCTAGCTCTTCTTTACAGTACAGATGTAAAATAGAATTTATAATTCACCACAAAATACATATAACAAGAAGAGGCTCTTCAACATATTATGTGTTCAGAAAGGCATTTCTAATTTTTCCCCTGGAGTAAAATGTTATCATATAAACGAAACCAAAGTTTCCTTTCAAAATAATGGTCAGAAAGTATTCAGTTATCTTAAATTGATGTTTCCAATCTTGATTGTCTCCAACACCTTTTAAATTTTATTTATTTATTTATTTTTGGTGGATGGCCAATAAGGGGATACAAATCCTTCTAACACTTTTTGAAACAAAGAGGAAATTTCTATTCTTTTCCCAACAGATTATTATACATTAATACAAATCATTTAAAAACTAATATGAAATAGTTGCTATTCTAAACTGTTAAATGGATCATTTACATATTTAGAGATGGAAAAAATCCTGTAAATTACTTTGCTTACTTTTTCTCCCAATTTCCCCAGTAACATATCTTCTTCATTAATAGCATTATGCATTTATTTATTTATTATTAATTTATTTTGGTGGCTGTCCAGCATGGAGGTCCAAACCCTTGATTTTGGTGTTAATAGCACCACGCTCTCCCAAGAGAGCTAAATGGCCAGCCCTGTTCATAGCATTACTTTAACTGTTGTATTTCTTAAACCATTGAAGCAAAATAATAGTTATGCATAGATGATTTAATATTAATTGAACATTCTAGGACAGAAAGTGATGCAGATTTTTATAAAGCTGTTACTGGGTCTCCTGGACAATGAATTAATCAATTGGTGTTCACTACAGATATAGAGTTCTAAGATGCACTGTCCTTACATTTTTAAAAAAGGTGTTCAGTTAGACTTTAATTTATTTATGCCAATTGTGGAAAATATCAAGACAGATTACATCAAGAAAACAATTAACACATTAAGCAGGTAATATATCAAACAGTTAACATATCAAGGAAACAGTTAACTTATGTTGCATTCAAGGAATAGTATAGTTTCACATACAGTTCTGAGCCAACACCAAGAATTTTGTAATATAGTAAATAAATGGATAGCAAGATCTTGAAAAACTTCTATGGTGTTATTAGCATTAAAATAATTCTACCGAATCATAGAAACTAAGCTTGACTTAGGAAGCCACTGTTTTTCTCAGCTTTGCATAGATTAGAATAGAGGTCCTTACCTTCCAAGACCAGAAGTGGAAAATATCAAATGTTAAGGTCACCTAAACTAAGATATGTGCAATCAGCAATGGTTGACAATAAATAAATAAATAAATAAATAATAGCATTGGTTCGGTTAAGGCATGATAACCAAAAAATTTGCTCAGACCGGGTCAGCTAAATTATAGTGCCTTGGGAGATCTGAGGTAAGTCAGTAGTCACATCCACCAGTCCTGGAAAATGTTATCATAAGACCATTTTTACTTAGAAGCAGACAGGATGTCACCAGAAAACAATAAAATAACCTAGAATGCTTCTTGTGACCCTTACCCTAGACCCCTGTGGGATGTAAACTATTAATACCAAATCTATTCCTCATGCAGAACCAATAAAAAAAACCTGACGAAGTGGGCTAGCTGGTTAGCTCACGTGGTTAGAGCATGGGCCTGATGACACCAAGGTCCAGTGTTGATCCCTGTACCCGTCAGCTGCCAAGAAAAAAAAAAAAAAACGTGATGAAGTAATTAGGCAGAGCTGTCCTCTCTCTCCTTTGATCCTTCTCCTTCTTGTGATTGTAAAATGCTAAGCTCTGCTGGCCAGTATGGGGATCAGAACCCTTAGACCTTGGTCTATATAATACTAGGCTCTAATCAACTGAGATAACTAGCCAGTCCCAGGCTATCTCTGATGTGTAAGAATTACAGCAGAGAGAACTTCATTGTCATGCCAATTAAAGACTTAAGCTGGCCTATGGGGAAACCGGCTGTTATCCCTCTCTTCTGATTTCTCAGGAGGTCAGATAATTACTCAGTTTTAGTTTGGCAACTGGAACTTTAGCAGGAATCACACCATCTTGGTTTTTAGTCTGGTCTGTTGGGGGTCTAGAGTACAGATTAGTCCAAAATAACGGCCTCCTATAATTTTATTTAACACAACTGAACCTCCAGCCAATCAGAGGCTGAAAGCTGCCAAAACATAACCACATAAGGCAAACACCAACTGCAACCAATCAGGTTGTTTCTCTATGTCACTTCCTTTACTCTGGCTGTAAATATGACCTGCACATGTGCTGGGGTGGAGCAGTCTGAACCATTTTGGCCTGTACTGCTGCCCAATTCTAGAATTGTTTAACGAGTTCTCAAATTTTCTGTTTTATATCTCAAACGGTAAACTTCAGTTATTGTAGTAATCTCAAAGTCTATTTGAAGCAAGCACCTGCCCTTTATTCCAAAACCACTTAAATAACATTTTAGTTAAGGCTGGCAGGTTGGCTCAGATGGTTAGAGCGTGGTGTTGTTAACACCAAGGTCAGGGATTCTGATCCCCATAGGAGCCAGCCACCAAAAAACAACCCAAAAAACAAAAAGTGTGTTAAATCTGTATTTCTATTATTTACCTTAAATTGACATGAGTCATTGCTTCTTGTAAAAAAAAAAAAATGTCGCACGATCAGTAAAAGAATTAATACCCCTGGTGACAACGGACTCCATATACTTTGTGCTGACCAGAGTACTAAACCCAGAAGAAGATGGAATAAAAATACTTTTTTTTTTAATCCCAGGACTAGAGTAGTCATTTTACAGGTTTCCATGTAAACTTCCTTTATTGTCAAGGATATTCTGCTTCAGACCCTAAGTTGCTTCCAAACTCCTCTACATAATACATAAATGAGAAAAACAAACCAAAAAAATCCTGGAACTAGACGAAACAGAAACCTTGAGTAAGCAAGTAGTTTAAAGGTTGAAAACAGATATAGCCTCACCAATATACCTCCATGTTATTAAATATTTAAGAGTAAGGTCGAAGAGACCCTAGGCCAGGGAGAGGAAGGAAAGGAAGCGAAGTAATCACACACTCGGTGAGAAAAAGAAAAGGTGTGAAAAAAGGAAAGCTGAGGAAAGAGGCGGGAAGGCCCCGCCCCTGTCCCATCAAGCCCTCCTCTGGCCCCGCCCCGCTCCGTCAGCTCCCTCCCCGTTTGGCCCTCCCGCTCCGTAGGCCCCGCCCCCGTCCCCCACCATCTTTCCTCTTCTAGCCACGCCCCTCCCCAGGCTCCGCCTCGGCCCCTTCAGACCCCACCAGTCAGGTCCCTTCCGGACCTGCTCCGCCCCGCCGGCGGCGGCCGCCTCATCAGGTGACAGCCCGGAAGCAGCGGAAGCGGATGAGGGAAGAGCGGCTGCGGCCCCGGAGGGCGGCACGGAGCTGCTCGGCCTCCTCCGGGACCCCGGCGCGGCCCTCATGCGGCGCCCTCGCTGACACCTGAAATCCGTCGCTCCCCGTCCGCCGCGCACCGCGGGGCGTCCGGCCCGCAGCCCTTGGCGGTTGAAGTCGTTGTCTTGCCGGCCCGCGGCGGCCGCCCATGGAGAAGGCCGGGCGGGGCGGCAGTGGCGCCCCCCGGGGGCCCGTGCTGCACATCGTGGTGGTCGGCTTTCACCACAAGAAGGGCTGCCAGGCATGATTGAACATGGTCTCAGTGACTGTTCTCAGTACAGACCCCGAAAGAGTATGACTGAAGAAGCTGGACTTCAGGAAAGCAATCCTCCTGCAGATAATTTTGTTTGTGGGTCTACTTCTGACATTTCAAATACCAACTTGGGAACTGTCAAAAAAATCATGGCAGGAAACCATGGAGACGGTGCTGCCATCAAGACTGAAGAGCATTTGTTCCAAGAAGATGACAGCAAAGGACAGGAACCAAATAATACCAATCAATATTTGAAACTTCCATCTCGCCCGTCTCCAGAGTCTTCAGAAAGTGACTGGGAGACCTTGGATCCTAGTATCTTAGAGGACCCCAACTTGAAAGAAAGAGAGCAGGTGGGATCCGATCAGACAAACTTATTTCCAAAGGACTCTGTGCCCTCAGATAGTCCTCCAATTACTGTACAACCTCAAGCTCACATTGGGCAGGTGGTCCTGATACCAGGGCTCATTTCAGGTTTGGAAGAAGACCAGTACGGCATGCCCCTGGCCATCTTCACAAAGGTAGAAGAAGCTCTGATCCAGACCCATGATCCAGAACTCAGGAAGCTGCTTATTCCAACCACTGCAGACCTAAGGTTCGCAGATTACCTAGTGAGGCACGTGACTGAGAACCGGGATGACGTCTTCCTGGATGGCACAGGCTGGGAGGGAGGTGATGAATGGATTCGGGCCCAGTTTGCAGTCTACATCCATGCCCTGCTGGCTGCCACGCTGCAGTTAGATAATGAAAAGATATTATCAGACTACGGGACCACTTTTGTTACAGCATGGAAGAATACTCACAACTACAGGGTGTGGAACAGCAACAAGCATCCAGCACTTGCAGAAATAAATCCAAACCATCCATTTCAAGGACAGTACTCAGTGTCAGACATGAAGTTAAGATTCTCACATTCTGTTCAGAATAGTGAACGTGGCAAAAAGATTGGAAACGTCATGGTCACAACCAGTCGGAATGTTGTACAAACAGGAAAAGCTGTTGGCCAATCAGTTGGAGGAGCTTTTTCCAGTGCAAAGACAGCTATGTCTTCATGGCTTTCTACTTTCACCAATTCCACCCCGCAAAGTCTCACTGAGCCACCCGATGGGAAGCCCTGAGCAGGTCATCAAAGGTTGCTCTTGCTTTCTTAGGTTTATGTGTTCCCTGTCCATCTGCTGCTCCCAGACTGTTCTTCATCATCAGCCACAGGTCGACAGCAGGGGATTGATACTTCAAACTGTTTACATGGACAGTTGCCTTTTATCTAAATGAATGTTGCAGGATGCTGAAAAGATGAAATCACAGCCATAGCAGGGATGGCTTTCCAGGTTGGGGTTTAAATCGACTACTTTTATTTCAGCCTGAGCCTGATTAAAACACACAATGAACCTTCTAATGAGTTTTGAGTTCTGACATTGTACATTTTCTTACTTTAGAAAAGTTTTTGCTTATGTAAATTTTGTTCTGTTTTGCTGTTTGAATATCTAGTTGGTCACTGTAATTTATATTTGCTAAAATTAAGTTATATTACTATTTTAATTTCTTTAATGTTGGCCCTAAAATGTGCTTATGAAGTTAAAGGGCCATACAGTCTACCCTTTATTATTTTGCTGAGTTGTATGATGATGTTTTGTCTGTTTTCTACCCACATAACACATTTATCAGTTTACTTCCTTCCAGAAATGTGAACATCAGAAGTGGTAGTTCTGAGGATGAGGTGTTCTGTTCCATATTTCTAATTTGTTCTTTCCAAATCCCTTAAAACTTGCTTTGGGGCATCAAGGAGTGTCACCGTGCTTTCCTCCTCTTCCTAATTGTGCAAGTGGGTGTGCAGAGAAGTAGTGTAGTGGTGGTTGCAGTGATGTTGAAACAATTTAACATGAATGTGTCTATAGGGCAGTATTTTCAAAGACCTGAGTGCTAGATTTGTCAATCCTAATCACGTTGCAGTCTTTTACAAGCGTTTTTTTTATCCAAGGTTTGTGCCTTCTATTTCTTCTTTTGACCAGTTTTTCATTGAGTGTTTACAGACCTACAAGTTTTCTCTAGTCTTATTCTTCCTAAAGCCTTTCGAGGCACTCAGCCTTCTTACTTCCCTGACAGAAAATCCTCCTGTAATCAATCCCTGTGCTCTTCTGAAAGTATTTATAAAAGAAGAGCAAGGTGGCCCATAAATATTAAATAGAAACCTCATTTTAGCTCACACTTAGAAAAACAAGAGGTAAGAGAAGAAAACTACCATTACATCAGTCACCTGTTTCATAAAGGACATCTGGCCTCTTGTTAGACACATGCACGTGTGTGCCATCTACTGATGATTTGTACACAGATGCACCTCATGTGTTTGCCTTGCTCAGCTCTCATTTGCTTTTCCAGGGGATCTTGGATAGCTGTTCTCAGGGAGTACTTTTGGGGAGCAGACTGCCTTTGAAGTAACAAAGGCTACTTGGAAAATATATTGTGAGTATAATCTGCATATGATATAAACAGTGTTGTGAAAACAGGGAGCCTAATTAAGAAGGACACTGGTTATATTTGAGTTACCCCTTATGAAATATTTATTTAAGAAGTAAATCCTCCTAAGTCTTGTGAAATGAACATGGGAACAAAATCGCAATATCCTTAAATTTTCCAATTTGTGTTTTAGGCCAGCAAATCTAAAAGCATACTTCCATTTGAACATAGTAATACAAGAATTCAGTGATGATAAATTGAAGGGTTTAATGTGAGAACTCCATTAATTTCACTTCTGTCAGGTAAGTTAACCTCAGGAAATATTAATGGAAGAGAAGAAAGCAATACCAAACAAAATTTTTAAAAATACTTAATCAGTTTTGCCATGAGACTATAAAGAGTTCATTCTGACATCTTGTTTCATGAGGCCTCAGCATTAGTTGGAGTGCAATACTGTATTCATGTGCAATTGTTACCTCTACTGCCAGAAGATCACACTGCTAGAGAGCTAGGAGCCCTGTGAGGGGTCAGCAGGCAAGATGCCTGTCCTTCATTTAGTTTGTATGGTTTGTGTGATTGGGGTAAGCTCACATCTCTCACTGTTCAAAAGAAGCCCAACCCATACGTTGGAGTCCTCTGAAATAAAAATGGTCAAGGAAAATTTAACTTTGCTTTACTATCACTTGTTCCCCATTTGAACATATACTTTAATTGAGCGTTGTTAATGTTTCTAGTTAAGAGTTCAACTCCTAAAGTGGTCACTTAACTGTCTTTCAACATAAAATGACTCAGAAGACAGAATTTTCATCATGGAAATGGTCAAAACCCCATGCCCATATTTCCTTCAGGTTCTGGGAGGTGTTGGAGTTTTCAAGGAACATAGGCCATTATATTGTTGGCAGGGGCCCTGAGGCCAGCATAATTGAAGGCAGGAAGCCTGGCCTCTTGTCCTGTGAGCCTACATACTTCAGGCTTTCATTTTAGACTCCAGCTGAGTGAACAGCTTAGAAGCGGTAGCCCCCCTCCAAACACTGGCTCTGTGAGCCAGAGGAGCCAGCTCCGTGCCATCTTCTGACATATCACTGGTAAAGGTGTGTGTGTTGGTGGCAGTGTTTGCACCAAGGCATTCATGTCTAAGAACTGAGTGTTTGGTAACTAGGCCTGCCTGAGGGAGATTGTGTTAGCCAGCCTTTTTCAGGTGTGCCAGGCACACAGACTACATCTGTAGCTTGGTGGATTGTGTTTCAGAGTTTTGTTTGTTCCAATATATAAACTATATTTTTCAGATTAGCATAATTTTTTGCTAAATAATATAATCGAATGTATATCAAACTCTGCTTCTTTCATAGATAGGTTGGAACTTTTCTTTTTTTTTTTTTTTTTTTAAAGATGACCAGTAAGGGGATCTTACCCCTTGACTTGGTGTTGTCAGCACCATGCTCAACCAGTGAGCTAACTGGCCATCCCTATATAGGATCCGAACCCAGGGCCTTGGTGTTCTCAGCACCACACTCTCCCGAGTGAGCTACGAGCCAGCCCTAGGTTGGAACTTTTCTGAACACTCTACTAGGAATAGTTATTTTCCAAAATTATGTCATAAAAAGTTGGAATTATTACTTGATTTTTTGACCACTTTTCTGATAGAGTTCATGGTTTTCTATACATAGCTAGCAGTTTTAATTCTCGAATAAATTGGTTTTACCAGACAGACTGTATTTCTAAAAAAAAAAAAAAGTAGAATTATAAAAGAACTAGAACTAATGTTAACACTAGTTAACACTTTTCACCCAATAGTGAATAAAGCAACCATAAGCATTGAAGAGAACGGCATATTTTCCTGCTGGTTTGAATGAACTGGTCATGGGAAAGTCTCCATGGGTAGCAGAATGTTGCACTGCAAATTCAAGGATAGGTTGAGATTACAGAGGTAGGCTCATGTTAAGGAGATAAGGCTATACTGAAGCCCTGACCTATTCAAGTTTTGGTGACAGATGTCTTACCGACAAGCCTGTTGTTATAGCACCTGCTATTGATGGAATCCTGCAGTGACAATGATCAAACATTCAGGAGGTATTGTTTGTGATTCTTGTTGAAGTAGGCCTTTGGAACAGAAAGAACAAAACTTTGGAGGGTTAGAAGTTAGGGAAGAATAACATTTTAAGATTTCTTTGGCTACTAATTTTAGGGAAACTGTCCTGAAATAAGATTGCATTTTCTGGCCTTCCATAGCACTTTTATCTCTTAAACCTTAATATTCTGATGAAGGTTTCTCACCTGATTTTGGTCATGCTTTTTGTATAACCTGAAATGATGCAAATCTTTGGCTTTGCAGGGCTGCAACATTAACACTTAGAACAGTGGAATAGCTTACATTCAGGCTTTGGCATCATGGTTAAGCAGAGTGGATGTCTATTTGTGTAATGGAAATTTAGAAATATCAGAAAGATTCCTCTGTCCTCTTATAATTACTCCCAGCTAGCTAGAAAGTACATAATTTTCTTTTTAGGCTTAAGTCTTCAATCCCTAGTAAAATGCTTATATATCATGGATAACCTTCTCCTTCATATTATTAATGTAATTTAGATCCTTTGCTGAGTGAAGATTTTGCTAGAAAGGGAAGACTGCAGACGGGCCCTGGTATACTGGGGATGGACACTATAAGAGCAAGAGGAAGACATATAGGGAGAGTAGTCTGCTTAACTATTTAATAATTTTGAGTAAGGCTTGTATTATATTGGGTTTAGATGCCATCAAATTAAAAACTGAGATTCTCCTTAGGATATTTTTAGAGGATGTTATCTAAACTGATAATTTTGACAATTTTTAAATCATATTCTGGTTGTTTGTGAAAATAACATTTATGATCAGAAGTAATATGTACTCACCATCATAGAAAAGTGAGAAAAAGGGGCCGGCCCGTGGCTCACTTGGGAGAGTGTGGTGCTGACAACACCGAGGCCATAGGTTGGGATCCCTGTGTATGGATGACTGGTTAGCTCACTTGGGAGAGCGTGGTGCTGAAAACACCAAATCAAGGGTTAAGATTCCCTTACCGGTCATCTTTAAAAAAAAAGAAAAGAAAAGTGAGAAAATATGGAGAATCAAAAAAAGAAAACACTTAAAATCCTGTGTCCTAAACAGATCTGCTCTTTAACACCTTGATGAATATCCCACCAGTTATTTTTCTATGAATATATTTAACTATTTCCAAAAATGTGTTATACTGTAATCAAGTTTTATGGCCTGACTTTTTCGTATAACAGTATATCATTAATATTTGTCCATATTAATAGATATTGAATTACAACACTTTAAAATTGCAAAATGGCATTTTGTTTTGTGGAAATACTGTTATTTATTTAACTGGTCACCTTTTTAGACACTTAGGTGGCATTCCAGTTTTTCACTATTTTGAATATTGCTGCAAAGAAAATCTTTGTGGCTAAATCTTTTCATCTTTTTTCTTAAGTACAGAGACTTTGTTTTAGCCTTTTTTTTTCCCCACAGAAATCTTATTAAGAATATGATGTACTAAACACAAGTTAGTCTCGGTGACTGTTCATAGCAAATGTCACTCATTGTACTATGGCATTCTCAGTTTATTTTAACATAGAGTGTTTTGCACATGCCTCTGACTCCACTGGGCTTTTGATAGCCTGTCAGA